TTTTTTTAAAAATTATTTTTATTTTTATTTGTTCATTTTTTTAAGCAGGCTCCATGCCCAATACGAGGCTTAAACTCACGACCCTAAGATCAAGATTCACATGCTTGGGTGCCTGGGTGGCTCAGCTGGTTGAGCCTGCCTTCGGCTGGAGTCGTGATCCCGGGGTCCTGGGATCGAGCCCCAACGTCTCCCTGGTCGGCAGGGAGTCTGCTTCTCGTTCTCCCCCTGTCCCTTCCCCAGCTTGTGCTCTCTCTTGCTCACTCTCTCTCTCAAATAAATGGGTAAAATCTTAAAAAAACAAGAGTCAGCGGCGCCTGGGTGGCTCAGTCGTTAAGCGTCTGCCTTCGGCTCAGGTCATGATCCCGGGGTCCTGGGATCCAGCCCCGCATTGGGCTCCCTGCTTCTTGGGAGCCTGCTTCTCCCTCTCCTACTCCCCTTGCTTGTGTTCCTGCTCTTGCTGTCTCTCTCTCTGTCAGCAGATAAATAAATAAAATGTTAAAAAAAAAAAAAAGAAACAACTTAAAAAAAAAAACAACAAGAGTCACATGCTTTACCAACTGAGCCAGCCTGGGTGGCTCAGTTGGTTAAGCATCTGCCTTCAGCTCAAGTCATGATCTCAGGGCTCCCTGCCCAGCAGGGAGTCTGCTTCTCCCTCTCCCTCTGCTGCTCCCCCTGCTTGTACTCTCGCTTTCTCTGTGTGTCAAATAAATAAATAAAATCTTTAAAAATAAAAAAGAAAACAGAACAAAGGTGAAAAGATTATCATGAAAGAGCAATATCCTGGCATTTGTCAATTAACTGAAATGATTAACTTTAAAAAGTATTGAAATGGGAAAATCACACAAAGATATAGAAAAAATGTCCATGGTGGGACACTTGTGTGGCTCTGTCGGTTAAATGTCTGCCTTCAGCTCTGGCTCTGGTCATGATCCCAGCGTCCTGGGATGGAGCCCCTCACTGGGGGGGGTGGGCAGCGGGGAGTCTGCTTCTCCTTCTGCCCGCCACTCCCCCTGCTTGTGCTCTCTCTCTCTCTCTCTCTCTCTGAAGAGACAGTATTGCCAAATTTAAAAATTTTTGCCAGTCGAGATTATATTCTTTAGGAAAGAAACTGTGTGTGGGTGCGTGTGTCTGTGTGTGTGTGTGTGTGTGTGTGTGTTTGAGGAGAGTATATATTTTTTTCCTAGGGCACTGCTTAAGGTAAATTAGTAAGCAGGTAAGATGAAATTAGTTATATCTTGGGGCACCTGGGTGGCTCAATCAGTTAAGCCTCTGCCTTCGGTACAGGTCATGATCCCAGAGTCCTGGGATCACTTTCTTTCCTTCTTCTTGGGTAGACACTTAATGTTATTGACTGGTTCCTCATGAGTTGATTAACCTTTTAGTTTCTGTTAAAAACATCAGACCCTTTTCTAATAGGTTCAGATGGACCTGATGATGTTTGGTGAGATGGTTAAGACACAGATACCAATGTGGATGTAAATATCATGTACATGTGGAGGTGCCTGCCGGCTCAGTTTGTCGTGTCTGACTCTTGATCTCAGCTCAGGTCTTGATCGCATGATCGTGAGTTCAAGCCCTGCATTGGGTAAATAAATAAAAAAATAATAAATACAATCTGCATGCTGATGACTCTCAAATGTGTTTTTCCAAATGAAACCTCTTTTCCAAATTCAAAGTTGTCCCAGACTTGGCCAATGGGAGTGATCTATACTTTTTTTGACATATAGAGTTTCCAATGTTATACTGTTGTGAAACGCAGTGAAACTGTTGTGTTGCCATAAACACAATCTCACCTATAGGGCCTTTGCCCTTGATTTTTCCTACACACAAAATCACCTCCAGTTCCCTCCCTTATCTTTTTCAGATCTACTCAAGGAACTCATTGCCGTATTTAAAAGCGCAACTTTAGGGGCATGATCCCAGGGTCCTGGGATCGAGTCCCAAGTCTGCTTCTCCCTCTGCCTCTCTCCAACCTGCACCCCCACTCCCCCCGCCGCCACTCTCTCTCGCAAATAAATAATCTTTTAAAAATTGCAACTTTCCCCAGCACTCCCTGTCCCCTTCCCTGCTTTTCTTCTCTTCCCTCTAACCATCACCATCTGACACACTATATATATTCTGCTTATTTGCCTTCTTTATTTTAGGCCCTACCCACCACTCCATGATGGAATGCAAGCTCCACAAGGGCAGAAGTTTCATTTTGCTATTGCTCTTTTCTCAAAGTTTAGAACTGTGCCTGACACATAGTATGGATTCAACTAACATTTATGGAATGAAGGGAATGAGCATTACCATCGACATTTTTTAAAAAGATTTTATTTATGGGCGCCTGGGTGGCTCAGTCGTTAAGCGGCTGCCTTTGGCTCAGGTCACGATCCCAGGGTCCTGGGATCGAGTCCCGCATCAGGCTCCCCGTTCCGCGGGAAGCCTGCTTCTCCCTCTCCCACTCCCCCTGCTTGTGTTCCTGCTCTCACTGTCTCTCTCTCTGTCAAATAAATAAATAATCAGAGAGAGAGAGAGAGAGAGCACAAGCAGGGGGAGTGGCAGGCAGAGGGAGAAGCTGACTCCCCGCTGAGCAAGGACCCCCCCCCCGCCCCAATGCAGGACTCCATCCCAGGACCCAGGGATCATGACCAGAGCCAGAGCCGAAGGTAGACATTTAACTGGCAGAGCCACTCAGGTGTTCCACCATGGACATTTTTCTACATCTTTGTGTGATTTTCCCATTTCAATACTTTTTAAAGTTAATCATTTCAGTTAATTGACAAATGCCAAGATATTGCTCTTTCATGATAATCTTTTCACCTTTGTTCTGTTTTCTTTTTTATTTATTTTTAAAGATTTTATTTATTTATTTGACACAGAGAAAGAGAGAGCACAAGCAGGGGGAGCAGCAGAGGGAGAGGGAGAAGCAGACTCCCTGCTGAGCAGGGAGCCCTGAGATCATGACTTGAGCTGAAGGCAGACGCTTAACCGATAGAGCCACCCAGGTGCCCCCATTCTTTCTTTTTAGATGTTCTTTCTTTTTTGTTTTTTATGGAGATCAAGTTATGAGTCAAATTCTCCCAACATTCTTTTCTTTCTTTTTTTTTTTAAGATTTTATTTATTTATTTGATAGAGAGAGAGACAGAAAGAGGGAACACAAGCAGCAGGGGGTGGGAGAGGGAGAAGCAGGATTCCCATGGAGCAGGGAGCCCGATGCGGGGCTCGATCCCAGGACCCTGGAATCATGACCCAAGCCGAAGGCAAACACTTAATGACTGAGCCACCCAGGTGCCCCCCAACATTCTTTTCATCTAGGTCCTAGGAGATTGTTTCTGACAAGGTATTAATAATTAGGCTTTTGGAAACATTGAGAAAAGTCCATTACTGCAGATAAGATTCATTTCAAATGGCACATGTTTTTACTTTCTGCAACTAAGGTAGTTGTCTGACTGTAGCCCTGAAAACACTGTAGTGCAGTCATTAGTTTGTTCTGCTTGCCAACCAGGATTTGTGTTCCTTCTGTTTTGTTTTGTTTTTTTTTTTTTTAAAGATTTTATTTATTTATTTGACAGAGAGAGACAGTGAGAGCAGGAACACAAGCAGGGGGAGTGGGAGAGGGAGAAGCAGGCTTCCCGCTGAGCAGGGAGCCCGATGTGGGACTCGATCCCAGGAGCCTGGGATCATGACCTGAGCTGAAGGCAGCCGCTTAATGACTGAGCCACCCAGGCGCCCTGTGTTCCTTCTGTTTAAGAGGCAAATTTTATTCATTTCTGTATACCTATATCCTAACTTAAGAATAAATTTGAATGAATCAATCTGTGAGAAAGGTTGAAAGTTTAGGAATCTTTCTCAAAGGAACAATCTGGTTATGCTTATTAAAGCAAGTATACGAAAGAATAAAAATTATGTGCAGAATCGGGTTAGAATAGTGTTGAAGGTAATGATAGGATGAGTCTTTCTCTCCAGCTGAAGTTTTGACGTGGGAGGAATGATAGTTCCATGAACACCACTTTCCTTACATCTGTGAGCCCATGAAAGATCTGGATTCCCTTGTCTGTGTCATGACTGTCCGCTGGAAGAAGCAATAGCTGTCCAACATTTAGGGAGAAATTCCAATGCACCACTCAGTCTTAATTTGGCATAATGCCACTGGTTATTCCTTCTAATGTTAAAAACTTACTTCTTCTGGTACCTTCATTGCTTCATGCATAAAGTGAATATGACCACCCTCAATGTACAAGGGCCAAATAGCCAGCAAAAAAAATGTAATGATGACCTTTTCAGACATCAAGCGTAGAGTCAAGGGAACCCAACCCTCCTCCAGCCTCTCTTTGGTGTTGAGGACAGTTTACCATCATCTGCAACCCAGATATTGCTCAACTGTGTCATCTCTGATCTGGCATTCCCTTGATCTATCTATAAACATTCAATTTAGAAACCCTAAAATTTGTCTCTCAGCCCAAGAGCCCCTCGAAAAAAAAGATAATGACAAGAAACCCTTGACACCTCTCTTCGGGTCCAATACTCCCTTTTGACCTTAAAGAAGAAGAAAAAAAGGGTGTTATGAGAGAGGAGGGCGAAGGGGAGGGGTAAGGGTCGAGAGGGGAGTCCAGCTCCAGTTTGGGGAAATCCAGCTCGCATTTTGACTCTAGCTCAGTGGTGCAGGGTCCAGCAAAGGCAGAGCCCCTGCTTCACTCCCTGAGGTCTGTCCTGGGGAGACACTACTGCTCCGGGGGGCTGACCTGGCGGGGAGTGGCAGCGCAATCCGCTCCCGCACCGCTTTGTGCGTGCAGCCGCCAGTCCCTCGGCTCCCGGGTCTGCCCCCTGGGACAACCCCCTGCCCCGCCCCAGTCATGCAATTCTACCTGCCTCTGCTCTGTGGACCTTTGGGAAGCTGCCGCCCACTCCGGGGGCTCGAGCCCTGACCCTGCCAGGCTGCCGGTAGGTGTCCGCCCTGGGCCCGCTCACGCTCCTCGCGCCCGCCGGGGCCCTGGGCTCCCAAGTTGTGGGGACCGGCGCGAGTTGGAAAGTTTGCCCGAGGGCTGGTGCGGGCTGGGAGCCGGGGGCACGCGCTCTGCCCTCCGAGCCAGAACGGGCCGGTGGTGAGCTCGGGCCGGGGCAGAGGGCAGGGGTGAGGGGACCCTCACGCGGAGGCCGGAAGGGGGTGCGAGGGGCGGTACTCGGCTGGGGCTGGGATGAAGGCCAGAGCTGGGCGTCCGCGCGTCCTCCGGGTCCGCAGGGGTGGGCCCACTCCCCGCGGCGACCCCCTGCCCTGAGCCGCTCGGGGAGCTTTTGTTGCGGGTGGTAAACAATGCCCCCGGCCGGAGGACTCGGCCGCCTGCCCCCGAGGCCCAGCTGCGGCGCGGGATGGGGGGGAGCGGAGGCGGGGGCGCCGTGGGCTCGGACCTCGGGCGCCGCTACAGCCGGGGCTGGGGGAGGGCAAGTGTGCCTTCGGGGATCCCTGAAGGTGCCGGCGACCCATGCGCCTCTTCGGAGAGTTGGAAGTCCGGCGCCTCGAGATGAGAAGAGTTAGGGCAAGTTGCGGGTGGGGAGCCCGTCCTGTCGCATAATCAAGCGCACCCCCAAACGGATTTTCTCCCTCCCCCACGCTTGTGTAGGGGATAGATTCGTTGGGAAACATTTGGCACTTCCCTCCCTGAGCATTTCGGGGAGGGGACTCCAAGGTATTAGGGGAGTCTGACCCGAGGTGACCTGGAGTTACACAGATCGGGGAAGAAGGGAATAGGGGATAGAACTAGTGTTCTGTCAAAATGGCTTTTTAAAAACCTCTTAGGAGCGCCACCAGGTCGCCGAGCGCGCTGGCGTTGCCGTCGCGTCAGCCCCACTGGCGGGATCCGGGAACCAGGAGGTGCGCAGAGCTGGGTGCTGCGGACCCGGGGAGGGGCCGGATTCCGGCCAGAGCCTGCGGCCAGGGCCGCCAGCCCTTCACATGTCGGGGAGGGAAGGGGCTAGATCTCTCTCCCTCTCCCTCTCTGCTCTCTTCCCCTTCCTCCCTCTCACCCAGACGCCCAACTGATTGAGCTGCTGGAGGGGCTGTATGCAGTCCATACAATTGCACAAAAAGTGGTCAGGAAGTTGCCGGCCGGCTCCAGTAGCCTTTCCACATGAATGGGGAACCCAAATTGCGCATTTCTGACCCACTAAAAATGTATGTATTACCAAGAGAAAAAATACTGCTTGAACTAGGAGTCTTTCCCCTGCCCCCAGCTCGTCCTCTTCCCAAATTAACCATTTTGCATCGGTCACTCATGTGCCACTTCGCCCCGGTTCCACTCGCCGGTACGACATGAGCTGCACAATACATGGTAATGGACAGTTTATGAAGAAATAGAGTGTAAGTGCTTCGAGACTTGAAGCGAGTGAAAGATACGGTGCACAGTCTAGTGTCGGCGGGGTGCGCTGCGCGCCGCACCGGGATGCGTTGAAGGGCGGCGCTGTAGGGCAGCAGCCTCAGGTCGGCCCTGAACCCAAATGTCCTCACTTGCCCTTCTCCCAACAATATTTAGTAAAATAAATTTATAAAGACGATGGCTTCTTTAGGCCTCAGGATGCCGAACACACACGTATGTATGTATGTATGCAAATATATATATATATGCTTGTTAACCAGTTAGGGCAGGATTAATTTAGGGCATATCGGGAATTTATGACCACAGTTAAACAAGGGTGGTACACGCAGGTAGGTGCATAGATAAATGTTTGGAGGTTAGTCCGTAGAGTTTCCAAGAACTAAAAGACTTCAGTACTGTGATTTTGGGTGTGTTTCCTGATTTTAATCGGTTTTAGGTTACACTGGTTAAAATCCTCTCTTCTTTCCCCGGTTAAGAGATCTTGAATAGGTTGGTTGGTAGCCTCTGACAGTGTTTAAAGCCATGTTATGATTTCAGCTAAACTTGAGAATCAAGATATAGGGGAGTTATTGGCACATACTCTCCTTTTTTCTTTGCAAAGATTAGTAGCTGAGATTTACAATCTTCAACCACCATTTAACCATTTTAATGAGAGTTAACTATCGTGTTCAGCTCTGGTTTTCCAGAATTGATGGGTCGGAGGTTTGGATCACCACTGTTCCTGCTCTTTGTTTCTCTTCCCTCTCCGGTCTTCTTTATCTGGTTTGTCCATCCCCTCCCCCACTCTCTTTGCATCTATCTTTCTTTCCCTGCACACTTAAATTTCTTTTTTCCCCTCTAGGTCTACCTTTAGTCTTCAGCGTTTTGATCCCAGTTGGGTTTTTTTTTTTTATTCAACCTTTATTACCATAAATTTCTTCCTCTTAACTCTGTCTTTTGCTCCCTCTACCCTTTAGACTTTTCTTCCTTAGGCTTTTTACTATTCCCCTTGTATTTTATGTTTTTCTTGTTTTTGGAAGAGTCGTTCTATCTCCATTTTAACTTCTCCCCTTTTCTGTGGCCTTCTTAGGCCCCCCCTTTTTTTTTCTTGCTCTCTGCAGGGCAGCAGGGGTGTTTTACATATGGAAGGAGCCTTTGACTAAATCTGCTGGTATTCTAGTGAGTTTCCTTGAACAGCCTTTCCTTGTGCGGAGGGCTCTCACACTTCCTGTGGTTGAAGACTATCTAGGAACTGCAAGCAGCCGCCCACCTCCTCTTCCTTTAAATGTAGAACTTAATTGCTGGACGAAGCTAAGTCAGGGGTGCCTTTTTAAAAGAAATGTTTTACATCTTCTATTTCTCAGTCAAGTGCAGCAGGCTTTAAATTCTAAGGAGCTGAATGGAGTGACCATGAAATCAGAACCTCTTTTGCTTCTAGCCCTACGGATGAATTCACTCACCACATTTTTGGCCACTGCTGGTAGTGGGAAGGGTTGCAATATAATTTTAAATTGACATGCGGGCTGTATGGTTACATCAGTTCAGCCACTTCCTACACAGGAGACTTTGGGAGATCCAGAAGGAGGGTTGTAGGTGGGAGAGGATTTTCTGATGAGGTGCTGTCAACATTGTCCTTTATAGACAACTGATACAGTTTAGGAAGTAAGCTTTTTATTTTCTAGGCAAAGGAATTACTTCATTAATTACAAAAAAGGCCCTCTGTAGGGAAAGGTTGAATACTTAGTAAGCTCAAATAATAGTGATGAAAATACCTGACCCTATTTGTTGACCAGTTTGGTTAGGTAAGTTTAAGTTACTTGTGAATAATTAGCAGATCCTTACACAGGCAATGTTTATCATATTCACCTTGGGGCCTACTCCTGCCACTTCTTCAACTTTAGGCTGGCGGCATGTCTTTTCATGTTTCAAATTATATGTTGGCCTTTTATCTCCTGGCTTATAATGTTTGAATCTCATATGCTCTAGTACCCTATATCACAAGGACATTTTAGGAAAAAGAATTTTTATTTTTGGTGCCCTCTGGTGAAAAGACTTGCTAACTAATGTTTTGCATCCCACAGTGGTTGGGTTTTCTGTGTGTTTCATTTTGTTTTTTCTTCCAGGAAAATAAGAACCCACAGAATAGTACCAGTTAATTGCAAATAATTAGGGCCTATGGTATATGTTTAATAACAGGAACACTATTCTCTTATTTTCTGCTCTGATCATATTATCCTACGGGGGATAAGGGGAGATGGAGAATTTAATAATGTTTATAGATTAATAAGGAAAATAAATATCGGTAGATCTGTGGGGATAATTCCATATTTAAATACGGACCTGTTTAATAGAATGGACTACATTGGTTTTTTATTTTCCCCACAAATTTCAAAAAAAAAAAAAAAAAAAAAAGCTTGCTGCCTCTCCTCCCAGAGTTCAGCCCTGGGGATAACTTAGTTTATCACAAAAGAAGGTCACATTTCATCAGTGGAGCCAAATTTCAAAAAAAAAAAAAAAAAAAAAGCTTGCTGCCTCTCCTCCCAGAGTTCAGCCCTGGGGATAACTTAGTTTATCACAAAAGAAGGTCACATTTCATCAGTGGAGCCAAGGGTGATAAAATTAGGATCTTGTGGGAACGCTTATTTTGTTTCTGATTGTCTGTTTCTTTGGCTGGGTGGTACCCAGTGGTTTCTCCCCTGCAGTTGGGTTTTTCAGGGGTCATTGGCCTCTTTCACGATCTCATAAAAAGGCTGTTACCATTTAAAGAGGCCACATCTTCCCAATCCATGTTGCTCATACCTTTTACATTTCCTTGGCAGGCTCTTTTTCAGGAGATAAGATTTGAATGGTAAACATTATCTTAATTACAAGTCTGAATTTCTAAAGCACTTTAATTTAAAAATATAAAAGAATATATGAGACAGAGATCAATTTATAAACTACTCTCAAAGGCAGATCCCATGACACCTTCTGGCATATCCAGATTACTTGCCTACATATGTGAATTTTAATTTCGTGGCTGATTGCAATACCTAGATTATATGCTCCTAATAATTTTTTAGCAATGTAATCTTGATACAAGAGATAAAGCAAGCTTATACCGATATTGTTGAATTTCTAAAGAATGGAAAGGATTGCTTTTTGCTATCTGAAAAAAACATCCTTATGAAGACTGCTGACTTTCTGGAGATTAGAATTGGAATGTCTTTTTTTTTTTTTCTAAAAATACTGGTACAAAAAGCAGTGGTCTTTGGAGAAAATATCCTACAGTTTTTCACAGCCAAAAAGTTAGTGCAAGCCAAAAACTTTTTTTTCTTTTTTTAAGAAAAGGGGGAAAGCGGTAAGCTTAGTTGCCAAGAACTCCAGTCAAGTATTCTCTGGTCTAGTGTTTGTATTTAGCACAGATTTATCAGACTTATTTTTCTTGTGGTTAATGTTATCACTAATGTCTATTTAAAAAGTCTGTCTTAAAGGCACAATGCTTTGACTCTAAATGTTGTGCTCTGGGATCTTTTATTACAGTGCCTGGCTTACAATGTGTTAGGTGATAACAGAAACCAAAGAACTAGATCTTGTTTTGCAGAATATGGCAGACTGTGGGTTAAACTCTTTCGATAATAATGATAACCACTCTTTAGCTCATTTTCTCTTATTATTTTTTTGTATTTCGGAAGTATAAGCAGCCTTTATTTTTTTACCTCCCATTTATTATTAAACACCTATTATATGCCAGCCCTGTGCTAAGTGTTCACACATGTCATCTCATTTTATTCCCATGGTAACCCAGTGAGGTCAGTACTATGATGCTTCCTATTCGATTACACATAAGGAAACTGAAGGATAGAGGGACTGAGGAATATATCAGAATCACATGACTAGTAATGTTTCTGAGCTGGAAACTGAACCCAAGTCTGCCTACTTACAAAGTCCTTCTTACCTTACCCTCCCCGCTCCCTCCTCAACCTCAGATATCACTAGGAAGCCACTAGGCTTTCCCTGTAGGAGCCCAGTGATTCCTCAAAACAACCTCATTTCAGATGTAGAAACTTTGACTCAGTTAAATAGGTTCTGGAAGGACATAGCTGGTGATCACAGATTCAAACTCACAGCTTTCTGATGGACACATCTCTAACTACTAAACCAACCAGTGCATCCCAGGATTACCTGGATCAGATAAGTACAACAAAAACAAATCAATTTGAGAATGATAGAGGGCTGTTCAAGTTTTTACTTTGCCAAGTAATAACAGTATAAAATAAACCTATTGCTCCCTTTTGACAAAAGAAAGGACTTCTATTACTTTTTTAAAGAAAGGACATTTTTAAAAGGTTTTATTTATTTATTATTTTTAAAAGATTTTATTTACTTGAGAGAGAGAGAGAGCATGAACGGGGGGAGGGGCAGAGGGAGAGGAAGAAGCCAACTCCCTGCTGAGTGGGGATTCCTGGCAGACCAGCAGGGGAGGTAGGGGGCGGGCTTAATCCCAGGACCCTGGATCATGACCTGAGCTGAAGTGAGAGGCTTATCCCACTGAGCCACCCAGGCGTCCCTATTTATTTATTTGAGAGAGAGCAAGTGAGCCTGAGTGTGAGGGGGGGGAGGGGCAGAAGGAGAAGAGAGAGAGAATCCCAATCAGACTCCACCTCAACTCGGACCCCAGTGGTGGGGCTCCATCCCCTGACCTGAGATCATGACCCAAGCTGACCCCAGTGGAAGTCAGGAGTGGGTTGCTCAACTGACTAAGCCACCTAGGCACCCCAAAAAAGAGAGAAAGAGAGAAAACTGGAAGCCTTAACTTCAGAGTAAAGAAGAGTTGTTTATTAGTATTATTATTTTTTAAGATTTTATTTATTTGAGAAAGAGAGAGAGAGAGAGAGAGCACTGCAGAGGGGAGAGAGGGAGAGGGAGAAGCACGCTCCCCGCTGAGCAGGGAGCCCGATTTGGGGCTCAATCCCAGGACATCAGGATCATGACCTGAGCCGAAAGCAGTTGCCTAACTGACTGAGCCACCCAGGTGCCCCAAGAAGAGTTGTTTAAAATGAATAAATTCAACTTTATGAAAAACTTGATACTGCCTGTTTTTTTCTGATTTTCTCACAGACTGTTGACCGCGGGTTGCAGATCAGTTTTTGGTAACTATCTTACACCATGCTTTCTAACAAATCCAACAACCTGTCAACTGTTAAAGAATCCTCACCCACTCAGTGGTACCACTCTTGACTCTGTGATCTTTAGAGAGTATGATACATCTTGTATGGTGAGCTTTACTCTTATTCATAGTTTGGTTTTATTCTGCATTAGCGTAAGCAATCTGAGGAGACCAAAGATAATTAATGATGGCTTAGTCAGTCTGCTTTCATTTTCTTCTTTTCTCTTACTTACCTTCCAAATAATAGTTGCTTGCCTAGAATGCTTTACCATTCTAATTATCTCATTTTCTCTTTATTTCCAATTTCCTTGCCTAGGCATTCATCATGAGACTTTTGGGACCCTTGGTAGAAGGGATTTTAGAACCAGCAGTCTTTGGATTAAGTCGGGTGAAAGAGAAAAGAGGGACATCATTTCTGGGTGTGGGCAGTGCCCACCACAATGCCTTCCTTATACATAGTAGGTACTCAACAGATATTTGTTGGACCCGTGAGTCTTATTTGTAACCTAATCTGTCAATACTAACTTCTCAGATTTTATGCTATTTTTGTGTGCATGTGTAAAGCTCAAAATTTGTAGACTGTCAATTGGAATGTGGTATTAATATTATTGGATCTCCAAGTAGAGTTTCTTGAATTATAATAAGCCTCTTCTTCCCCTGGTTTTACCAGCTTTACTGTCCAGCACATGACACCTCTGCCCGTGTGGTGATGTGCTGAGGAAAGAGAGAATTTTTTAAGTACCCAAATTTGTAAAGATTAGGATTTGATTTTTAAACTACATGTAACTACAGCAGTTGTGTTTTCTAATATAGAATAACCCCCATGCTTACTCTGTGCCTAGAACTTCATCAACTAAATCAGTTGTCACAGTAATTAAAGGAGCTTCATTTGTGAATCCAGGGTTTAAAGGATATTTGAGTATCTTTTGTGTTTATTGTATTTTTCTTTTGCAGTAAACATTCTCAGTGCCCTAATTTTGATTAGTAATTATTAGTAGATATTCTGTTTCAAATGGGAGAATACATAAGAAAAAGACTCACTCCCAATGTTTTTTTGTTGTTTCAGACCAAAATCTTGTGCCACTGACTTCAACCATGGTGCATCCAGATTCTCCTCAGAAGTGAGACTTTCCAAAGGACCAATGACTCTGTTCCCTGTGCCCTTTCATTTTTTCCTACTCTGTAGCTATGTCTCGATCCCGCCATGCAAGGCCTTCCAGATTAGTCAGGAGGGAAGATCTGAACAGAAAGAAAAGCACCCAACTGAAGAAGACATCTAAGGCAGCCAACAAAAATGTGGCATCAGTCAAGACTGTGAGCCCTGGAAAATTAAAACAATTAATTCAAGAAAGAGATGTTAAGAAAAAAATAGAACCCAAACCACCTATGCCAGTCAGAAGCCTTCTGACAAGAGCTGGAGCAGCACGAATGAATTTGGATAGGACTGAGGTTCTTTTTCAGAACCCAGAATCCTTAACTTGCAATGGGTTTACAATGGCTCTCCGAAGCACCTCTCTTAGCAGGCGACTCTCCCAACCTCCAGTGATCATAGCCAAACCCAAGAAAGTTCCACCTCCTAAAAATTTAGAAAAGCAACATGGATGTGATTATAATGTAGTTGCTGACATGGGAGTAAAACACTCAGAGAATGAATCAGTTCCAACACAAGTTCCCCTAATTGCTCCTGATGTAGAGAATCTAATTGGTGTTCAGAATGCATCTTTAATTAAAGGTGAGAGCCAAGAGACAACCCAGTCTTGGTCCCAAAGGGTGGAGGATTCCAAAATAAATATTTCCACTCAGAGTGACCCTGCAGTAGAGATCCTTTCTGGGTCATCGGAAGAGACATGTGGTGGTGAAGGACTATTCTCTAAAGAGACATTGAATGCTATCAGTGACTCCCCTAGAATGTTTGCTCAGGACACTCTGTGTGCTCCTTTGCTCCAAAGAGCAGCCCTCAAGGTTACTTACGAAGGAAACTCCAGCATTCAGTTAGAAGATTTGGGTTCACGAGTAGAATCTCTTAAGCTATCTGATGCTTACCTGGATCCCATCAAAAGTGAACGTAATTGCTACCCCACCTCAGGCTTTAATAAGGTTATACCTGAATTGGACCTTAGAAACTGTTTGTCCATTGGTGGGTCAATATATCCTACCTCATTAATAAAACTCCTCTTGGCAAGCTCAGAGCAAGAAACCCTTGGTGCTAAACCAGATCATCAAGAGGCACTCAAAGCTATCCCAGAGCAACAGGAAATTCCTGATACCACCCCTATCATAGGACAGGCTTTTAGTGCTGTCCCACATCGATGGGAAGTTCCTGGTGATAACATAATTCATGGAGAGGCTCTGGATGAGACCGTAGACCCACCAGTGATGCCTGGTGCTATTCCAGTCCAAGGAGAGGTCTTCGGTGCTATCCTAGACCAACAAATCCTCAGAATGGGTGGTGGTACTGCCTCAGACCCACCTATCTTTCTTCCTGCTCCTCTAAACCCAATTGCTACCTATAATGCTCTCCCAGAATGGCTTGAGCCCCAGAGCACTGTTTCATATGGGTTTGAGGTCCAGGGCGCTGTGCAGATTTTGCCTTTGGGCTCAGGTCACACTCCTCAGCCATCATCAAACTCAGAGATAAGTTCGGTACCTCCAATAATGACTATTAGCAATATAGAAAATGAGAAGCAGGTTCATATAAGCTTTCTGCCAGCTAACACTCAGGGGGTCCCAATAGCCCCTGAGCGAGGACTCGTCCATGCTTCCCAGGGCATTACCCAACTTTCCCAGGCTGGTGCCAGCACATTGGAAGGAGGGAGCTCCCAGATCAGCATGACCAGTGTGGTTGACATCAACACCACAGTGGTGTCTAGGCCAGTGTCACTCGCCAGTACCTCCTCTTCTCCTTCCTATACAACTTTGCTACCTACTTTGGAAAAGAAGAAACGAAAGCGCTGTGGGGTCTGTGAGCCCTGCCAGCAGAAGACCAATTGTGGTGAATGTACTTACTGCAAGAACAGAAAGAACAGCCATCAAATCTGTAAGAAAAGGAAATGTGAAGAGCTGAAAAAGAAACCATCCGTCCTTGTGCCTTTGGAGGTGAGTAAATCCCCATGCGCTGGGAGATGCCCATGAGGCTCTGTAGAGTGATCTGTGCAGAGACTAGGTGATTCAATATTACATCCTTTTACTCTGGTAACATTTTATATTATCTATAGGAGTTTGTGGATCAACCCGAAATATGTCTTGTGCAGTGAGCGATATATTAGCTTATTTTTAGAATCTGTCTCAGAAAACTAGAACATAAAAGTTTTTCCATTACAGGATTTGATGGAGACAGGGAAATGACATGAAGTGTGGTTTTGCAAAGATTTCCACTATGCCTTATTTTGGCTAGTTGTGCGTCTTTTGGAAGTTACAGATTTAACTTAAATTTAAATTAAGAGTGGAACAAATTCATTAACTCCCTTGCAGCTTGAGGAACCAGTGGAATTAAACTTCTATTCTTTTTTTTAAAAGATTTTATTTATTTATTTGAGAGAGAGAGAATGAGAGATAGAGAGCACGAGAGGGAAGAGGGTCAGAGGGAGAAGTAGACTCCCTGCTGAGCAGGGAGCCTGATGTGGGACTCGATCCCGGGACTCCAGGATCATGACCTGAGCCGAAGGCAGTCGCTTAACCAACTGAGCCACCCAGGCGCCCTAAATTTCTATTCTTTTGAAAGAATAAAACTGTCTCTATCCTTAATTTCGAAACTTTGCCTTGGAAGGTAAATAAAGCTTTCATCTTAACTTTTGGCAAGTGATGTCCACCTGCTTCACATATCCCATGTGGTTGTTAGGATTATCAGAAGTTCAAAATGGTTTGTAAACTCTGAAGTGATACATAAACATTGGTTCCCATTATTACAGTTTATGAATCTAAGGTACTAAAAATATTGGTTGGCTTTGACATTTTAAAGGATTTTATGGGGCACCTGGGTGGCTCAGTCGGTTAAGCATCTGCCTTCAGCTCAGGTCATGATCCCAGAGTCCCGGGATCGAGCCCTGTGTTGGGCTCCCTGCTCATTGGGGAGCCTGCTTCTCCCTCTGCCTCTTACTGCCGCTCCCCCTGCTTGTGCTCTCTCTCTCTCAGTTTCTCTCTCAAATAAATAAATAAATAAATAAAATCTTAAAAAAAAAAACAAAATAAAGGATTTTATGGAACTTGGTTAATACTTGATTATCAGACCTTTAAAATACATGCCAACTATGGTGTTATGATTTTTAGATCACTCATTTGAAGTTATGCTTATTTTGTGACTGCTATGAATACAGGTATAATAGAATAGATTAATTTAAAAGTATTGTGAACTTAAACTTAGTCATTCTTTTTTATTTCACTCTTAAATTACCTGTCCCAAAATGCTGACTTTCTATTTGACCCATTGCAAATGAGATCAGACATTTAACTGATCAGGTATTAATGGGCATTTGAGGTGTTTCTAAAATATTCTGTTATTACAAACCTTACTGCAATGAATAATTTTTACTCAAGTCACTTCACATATGTGGGCGTGGCCAGCAAGCAACTTAATGGTTTACAAACATACATCTAAAACACTAGCAGCAATATCTTACAGCAGAGAGACCTCCCTTGTAAGTTCCTGATTTGTAACATTGCCAAATGGCACCATTGCTGAAAGTACTCACTTGATCTCTAATAGATATAATCGAATTTGTTCTCTTTTTTCCTAAACCTGCTCCTTTTTTTGCATTACATATTTGGCTTAATGACTAACCATCTGAATGGTCACCCAAAATGGAAAATTCATTCACCTTTATGCCTTCCTCTCACTCTTCTAGATTTCTTGTTATATGAGATCTGAGCACTCCTACCTCTCCATTTTCTTGGCTACTTCTGTAGTTGATGCCTTTGTCCTTTATTGGGACAATTTCAGTGTTCTCTCTGTTATCAGCAAGTATTTACTGTACTTCCTCTCCAGGTTGTGCACTGGGGATATAGTTGTGAGCGTCCCAGCTAGAAGAGAAGTCAGGATATTGAACAATAACCTCTTAAGTGCAGTTCAAGTTTTCTTTCTAAAACCCTGATGATTCTCCTACTTAAATACATTTAGTGCTCTTCTCTATGTGTGATATATCTCACTCAGAACAAAACAAAACAAAAATAGAGAAGACCTCTTTGTGCCTTCCAAGTATAGATGAAGCCTAGCTTCTTTTTTTTTTTTTTGAGAGAGAGAGTGAGAGAGGGAGGAGGAGAGGTTGGGGGAGGGGTAGAGAGAGAGAATCTCAAGCAGACTCCCCACTGAGCACGGAGCCCGATGTCGGTCATGATCCCATGACCTGAGATCATGATTTGAGCCCAAATCAAGAGTCAGATACTTAACCCACTGAGCCACCCAGGTGCCCCCCAAAAGATCACTTTCATCACTTACAAAGTTGATTCTGAAGAATCTATTAGGTTGTCCTTATACTGAACTCTGGCAGCAAATAGACCTACCCATCTAAAACCCAGCCACAAGTTCATGGAGAGGCAGAGGAGAACACAGGGAACACTGCTCCGAGGGAAGTTCATTCTGAGAGAGCAAAGAACAGTTGTATACTCTTGTTTCTGGTTTCTTTGCTCATGCTTAGGAAAAGCATACTTACCATGCTTAAGTAATGTTGCTTATGTAGTTATTCATTTTTATTGCAGTATAGTGTTCCATTCTGTGTTTATATCACAATACATTAATACATTCTACTGTTTATTTTTTTAATTTTTAAAAAATATTTTATTTATCCATTTGTCACAGATAGAGCACAAGCAGGGGGAGTGGCAGGCAGAGGGAGAAGCAGGCTTTCTGCTGAGCAGGGAGCCTGATGCAGAACTCAATCCCAGGACCCTGGGATCATGACCTGAGCCGAAGGCAGAAGCTTAACTGACTGAGCCACCCAGGCGTTCCTAATCCATTCTACTGTTAATATACACATTATCATAAATGTCTTTTGGTGAATATATGTGTGCATTCTAGTGAATAGATTCCTAGGAGTGGAATTGCTGGGTCATAGAATACGTATGTTTAGCTCTCATGGATATTATTCAGCAGCTGTGGTTGTCCCAATTAAGACTCATCAGTAGTGTTTGTTCCACTACCTCCACATCCTTGCCAACACTTGATATTTTCTGTCTTGTTTTACTTGAATCTTTTTGTTGGGTGTGTAGCGGCATCACTACATTGGACTAATGAAATTGAGCTGCTACTTCCTTGCTTCTTAGTCATTTAGATATTGTCTTTGTCCATTTTGGGTTTTTCTGCCTTTTCATTATTGGTTTATAAGAGTTCATTACATTTTATTGATACAAATTTTTTGTTGAATATATGATTGCTGATATCTTTACTTATTCCATGACAGCTTTTCACTCACTTTATCCTGGCTTTTAATGAACAGAAAGTTTTAACTTTAATTTCCAATTTACCAAAGCTTTCCTTTATGTCCTGGTTAAGAAAATTTTGTCTATTTTTTGCCAGTTCCAAGGTCATGAAGATGTTCTCTTTTCCTTCCTTCTTTTTTAAGATTTTATTTATTTGTTTGACAGAGAGAGACAGCGAGAGAGGGAACACAAGCAGGGGGAGTGGGAGAGGGAGAAGCAGGCTTCCCACAGAGCAGGGAGCCTGATGCGGGGCTTAATCCCAGGACCCTGGGATCATGACCTGAGCCGAAGGCAGATTCTTAACTGACTGAGCTACCCAGGCATCCCTCTTTTGCTTCCTTCTTAAAAAGTTAATTTTTTAAGCCTTTCACATTTAGGTGTAAAGTATATCTGGAATTGACTTCTGTGTCTGGTGTGAGGAGTCAAGAATGATTATTTTTTCTATGGATCTCTAATTGGCACCATTACTGAAATGACCATCCTTCCCGTTACTACGATCTCATCCATGTCATAAATCAGGTGATTGATTAATTCTGGGTCTACTTCTAGACTGTTTCATTGGTCCTTTTGTCTATCCTTGTGTCTAAACTCATCGTCAGTAGGCTTTATAATTGTTAACTGGTAGTATAAGTCCTTCAGCTTTGTTCTTTAATGGTGATTTGTGCTATTTTTATTGTTCTTTACATTTTCATTAACATTTTGAATTAGCTTGTAAATTTCCACGAAAACTCTGCTGGGATTTTATTGTGATTATGTTGAACCTATACGTCAGTTTGGAAAGATTGGCATTTTTATAATATTGAACCTTGCAGTTCATGACCATGGTATATCTTGATATATGTCATTTAATTTCTTTCAATAATATTTTGTAGTTTTCAATAAGGAGTTATTTCATTTGTTTTATTACTAGGTATTTGATATTTTTATTCCTAGGTGCTTGATATAGCCCTAGATATTTGATGGTTTTTTAGAATATTTATGATACTAGTATTAATGATTGAAGGCCATTTGCTTTGGTAACAAGAATACTGCTAAGCAAACATATATATATATTTTTAAAGATTTTATTTATTTATTTTCACAGAGAGAGAGATAGCGAGAGCAGGAACACAAGCAGGGGGAGAGGGGGGAAGGAGAAGCAGGCTCCTTGCTGAGCAGAGAGCCCAATTTGGGGCTCAATCCTAGGACCCTGGGGTCATGACCTGAGCTGAAGACAGATGCTTAACGGCTCAGCCACCAGGTGCCCCTAAGCAAATATATTTCACATATTTGTATGTTCCTTACATCAGAATTATTTTACTTATTGAGAGTTGGATGAGAAATAGAAAATACATTTACAGTTTTAAAATATTAATATTTTTGTTACTGCTTATATTAAACAAGTATACACTTCAAAAACAATTGTTAGAATTATTTTTCTAAAATATACTTAGCATATGCTATCTCTCAGTAAGTTAATTACTGATGTCTGAGATAAGTGAAAACAGTTTTTTACTTACCTTTTTTGGTCATAGATTACATTTTTGTCTCCCACAAAAACAGAATTTTTTTTATGTACAACAGGTGGTTAGAGAGTCTCCCCAGAGATATCTTTTGGCCAAGAGATAAAATGGTATTTTTCTGCCAAGTTTAGTTCAGATTACTTTCTCTATATTCAAAAATATAGATAATTAAAGCCACTAACT